AACTAGAACATCATAATGAATGTCTAATCATTTTTTCTGTCTTTAATGTTGGTTCTATATCCTATATCTGATTAAAGTGTTAATTTTTCTGAGTAGTTTACTTTTAATCTGTAATTTTATGCTTAAAAAGGAATATGACACCATGATTGGCAGCTCTGTTGATAAATGTTCCTCCTGCAACGCTGTGTTACAATTCTCTTAGCAGACGCTTTTATTCAAGGCGACGTACATCAGAGAGCAAGTGCAACACTAATCCATTCATACACTGAGGCAGCAATACAGGGTTAAATGTTTTGCCCAAGGACAGATCAGACTTGTTGCTAAGCTGGTGATGAGGTGACGACTCTACCAACTGAGCCACAGCTGCTGTGGAAGAACTCTAGAAGCAGAGTAGAGGAAGAATAACAAGAGGAAACACAACGAACACTTACACAACAGTCATTGCCTATACTTAGTTGGAACCAACACAACAATCTGTTCTGATGTGGACTGGGCAGAGCAGACGGATCTTTGCAATTTTATTAACAAGTTGAAGGTAAGTTTTGGTTTGAAGAAGGGGTGGGATAAACAGTTCACTAACAATGTAAAAGTCAGGTTAACAAAATCGGATTGCTTTAAAACAAAGATCCTCAACTAGTGTGTCTTTTTAACTTTGCAAAAATACGATATGATATGTTTCTTTTGTTTCAAAATGAAACAGCAGAAACTGACAGAAGAAATATAAACCCTGTTTATGTGCTTATGTTTTCAGTTGCATTCTGGAAAGTTATTTCAGTCTCATTGTGAGACAGATTGGGCTTCTGTTCCTCCTCATAAGGTTTTAAAAATGACAGCAGTTTAGCAAGATTAACTTAAATACCGGTACTTTATTTGAAGACATGTGAAATGTGAGTAATTCCCCTATGTCCCTTATTGAGCCAAAATTTGTGAAAGCAAAACCAAACATACTGAGGTTTCAGGTTGAATCTTTGAAGCAGAAGCTCGGCCTGAAATTTGTGATGGATGTTCCCAGTGAAATAAAGTTTCAAACCTCTCTGACAGCGTATCATTCTTGCCACATCTGACGTTTTGTCTTGACAGATGTTTCCACATTTTAGGGTTGATGTTATTCTAACTATTTATAGAAATAATTCAATGCCAAAAGTACCAACAATAAGAAAACAAGTTGTAAATCTGTAAGAAACTCGAGGATGAAAAGTTCATTGGTGCAGCTTTTAAAACAAACCTATAGCTTTGTTCAGACCAGCAGCTTGAGTCCAGTTTCACTAAAGATACTGAAAGAGTATCTGTCATCAATTTCTACATAATAGTAATAATATAATTATGTATCAAATCAGTGTGAACACAACTCAGCCAAGCAGTCTCACCACTCCCACAGCAAAAATGCATGAACCTGAGCAAACACAAGGTGGAATTACAGATGTGACCCCTGAGAGCTCTGATTCATATTTAATGAGAGAGCAGGGCTCAGGGAAGACTTTTATTTTATACGAGAGGAGGCTGTGGACTAATCAATAAGTAATATAAGGAAGATTTACAGGGATCCGCTGAAGGCCCTCAGGACCAGACTGTTTCCTTCTAGTTTTTCTCTGTCTGTCTAACTTTAAGTATGTCTGTGTGTGTGTGTGTGTGTGTGTGTGTGTCTGTCTGTCTGTCTGTCTGTGTGTGTGTCTGTCTGTCTAAGTTTAAGTATGTCTGTCTGTCTGTGTGTGTCTGTCTGTCTGTCTGTCTGTCTGTCTGTCTGTCTGTCTAACTTTAAGTATGTCTGTCTGTCTGTGTGTGTGTCTGTCTGTGTGTGTGTGTGTGTCTGTCTGTGTGTCTGTCTGTGTGTCTGTCTGTGGCTGTCTGTCTGTCTGTGTGTGTCTGTGTGTGTGTCTGTCGTGTGTGTGTCTGTTGTCTGTGTGTGTGTGTGTGTGTGTGTGTGTGTGTGTGTGTGTGTGTGTCTATCTGTGTGTGTGTCTGTCTGTGTGTCTGTCTGTCTGTCTGTGTGTGTGTGTGTGAGTGTGTGTGTGTGTGTGTGTGTGTGTCTGTCTGTGTGTCTGTCTGTGTGTGTGTGTGTGTGTGTGTGTGTGTGTGTCTGTGTGTGTCTGTGTGTGTCTGTCTGTGTGTGTGTGTGTGTGTCTGTCTGTCTCTGTGTGTGTGTCTGTCTGTGTGTCTGTCTGTGTGTTGTGTGTGTGTGTGTGTGTGTCTGTCTGTGTGTCTGTGTGTCTGTGTGTGTGTGTGTGTGTGTGTGTGTGTGTGTGTGTGTGTGTGTCTCTGTGTGTCTGTGTGTGTGTGTGTGTGTGTGTGTGTCTGTGTGTGTGTGTGTGTGTGTGTCTGTCTGTCTGTGTGTCTGTGTGTCTGTGTGTGTGTGTGTCTGTCTGTGTGTGTGTGTGTGTGTGTGTGTGTGTGTGTGTGTCTGTCTGTCTGTGTGTCTATGTGTCTGTCTGTGTGTGTCTTTGTATGTCTGTCTGTCTGTGTGTGTGTGTGTCTGTGTGTTTGTGTGTCTGTGTGTCTGTCTGTCTGTCTGTCTGTCTGTGTGTCTGTGTGTCTGTGTGTGTGTGTGTGTGTGTGTGTGTGTCTGTGTGTGTGTGTGTGTGTGTGTGTGTGTGTGTGTGTGTGTGTCTGTCTGTCTGTCTGTGTGTCTATGTGTCTATGTGTCTGTCTGTGTGTGTCTTTGTATGTCTGTCTGTCTGTGTGTGTGTCTGTCTGTCTGTGTGTCTGTCTGTGTGTCTGTGTGTCTGTGTGTCTGTGTGTCTGTGTGTCTGTCTGTGTGTCTGTGTGTCTGTGTGTCTGTCTGTCTGTCTGTCTGTCTGTCTGTCTGTCTGTGTGTCTGTGTGTCTGTGTGTCTGTGTGTCTGTCTGTCTGTCTGTCTGTCTGTCTGTCTGTCTGTCTGTCTGTCTGTCTGTCTGTCTGTCTGTCTGACTGTCCGTCTTGCTTTTATGTCCTTGAGTAGCTTTACATCATTTTGGATCGATGTATTTCAGCTACAATTTTCTTTTTTTTTCTGATCAAATGTAACTTTAATTTTGCCCTGAAGATTCTGCTCAGAACTTGAGTCTATAATCACTGAGAACCAGATGGCAGCCTGAGGTCTGCCGGCAATATTGATCAAAATGAGACTTGAACATTTTTCGTTTGAAGCAACACACTTAAAAGTCTCCAACAGATTCTTTGGTGAGTTATTTACAATCTTAAATAAAATGATCTTTTATTAATGATATTGATCCTTCTTTTATGACACCTCCCTGGCTTTAAATGTGCTTCATGTTTAGTTTCTATCGCTTTAAGATTTTATTTTATGTGTTCTATACACAATGCAGTGCTCTCTTTTCCCCCCAGAAATAGAATACAAAACACTACTTCATTTCTAACACTTAAGATTAAAATGAACAAACTACAGTTTAACTATCTGCTGTTATAGGTTTTTTTCATCCACTTTTAATTTTTCTCATTAGCATTACTGCAGGGCAGAGAGGGTTGTTTTAATATATTTATTTAATGCCTTCGAACTAAAGGTTTAAATCTATCTGGAATGAGCAGCACATGGTTGTGCTGTATGTCTCCTCTAATCTGTTCCATGGGCTTAAGCAATATGTCAATATGTCACTGCTGCCAGAAGGTGTTTTTATGCACATGTGGAGCTTGTAACATGGAACTGCTGCTGTTGTATCATGTGATGTTGTGTGTATTTTTTAAAGGATTATGTTTTTTTTTTGTATTACCTGTGTAACTGCAGGATGGAGTCCAAAATAAATATATCTTATCCTATCTTTACATCCAAGTCTGTGCAGACTACAAGTAAGGACTTTAAATAGAGGTAATCACTGATGATTGCATTTAACAAGTTGTATCCATAGTCTGTATAAAACACTGATGTAGTCTTAGTGTTGTCACCCACTGGATTCTGAAGAAGCAGGCGCCAGGTTGGGAACGCTATCTCAAGCTAATATTCAATCAATCTAATTGACAGGCAAAGAGGGGGAGTTACAGCTACAACACCACCTGTCACTCAACTTAGCCATGTCCCTTTCTATGCAATTGTATCTATTATGAACCTTAATATCATCCAACAGACAAGAAATTCATCCCTGTTGTCTTTAAGAATAAAGAAATGAGCTATAGAGGCCAAAAGTGTTTTTTGGACCAGGCTATAAAACTGTATATTTCTGCTGTAAAAAAAAAAAAAGGCATTTTAATATCGCTTTAGGTACCAGACTTAAGTTGACACTGGAGGAACAGCAACTGGCTTCATTTTTCAATGCTGGAGGCTGCCCCCTGGTTGTAACAGAGGAGTACATCGGACTGACAGTTAGCAAGAACGGGCCAAACTTGAGGGTACAGTGATCACTTTGACCACAAAAATGTGATAACTTCTTTGCTGAAATTCTCTCAAGCTGATTCAGAGACATCTTGTTCACCAGAGTGACAGACATACAGACAGACCCAAACACGAAGCCTCTGGCCTCAGCTGCTTCTGGTGTTAAAGCTTAAAAAAGGTACCGGAAAACTGACTCCAGCTTTCAAGAAGAGGTCTTGAAAATGTTTCTGCTATACATTGTTCATCAAAAATGACTTGAAGGATTTAAATCCTCCTGATTTTCTTGACAGCTGAACGTCATATAACAAACTGATAATCTGCACGAGGTTGATGATGAGCTGTTTCCCTGCAGATCTCTTGCCAGCTTGATCCTCTTCTTATCATTAGTTTACTGTCATTGATGACCTTTTAGTATCCATCTTACAACCTAAACTGATACTAGAGAACAACCCAGAACAATACAGGGGAGTTTCTATCTCTTGTCACATGATTAGAAAACAAGTGACAGAATGTGGGAGGTGTCATATTATAAAAAAGTCCAGTGTGTTGAGGCTGTAAAATAAAGAAGCTCCCTTACTACACTCTTGGTAAACTCTAGTTTCCTTTTTGGGTCCTCTTCTATGCAAATATCACAGCCACATATTCACACTGTCTTCTGTAGCATGATATCAGAGTAAAGAACACATTTAAACAGGTTTACCCAGTGATTGTCCGGCGATGACCCTGGTGTTCTCCCCTGCCACGGCGGCCCTGGCGTTCCTCTCGCTGGCGTACTGGACGAAGGCGTAACCCTTGTGCACCGAGCAGCCCAAGATCTTGCCGTATTTGGCGAAGAAGGCCTCGATGTCGCCCTTGGTTACCACGGCCGTGTTTAGGTTGCCAATGAAGACTCGGGAGTTGAGGGAGCGCGGGTCATTCTTGTTGGTCACGTTGCTGGTCTGGGTCTTCCCAGTCATCCTAGTCCTGCAGCAATGCCTGCTGGGAGACACAGTTGCACAGTGCTCAGAAAGCCAGGAAGGTTAGACTGTGGAGCTAAAACACAGAAAGACAAACAGAGTGCAGCAGAAGGAGGTAAACACCAGTGTGAGCAAGAAATGGTGGAAATAATAACAAGGTTTTCCACTTATCTTGTTTTTACTAATCCACTTTAAACCTCACTGGATGGTCAGAACAAAGACAAATGCTTTCTTATCTCTAAAAAGCATTTGTAGACTTTTTTTTAACTGCTCCAATGTGCTGCTAACAGGTTTGATTTATGGTTTACAAAAACAGGAGGGCTACAATTTATGTGAAGAACGAGAGGCTGAGACTAGTCATTTTCTAAAATGGATATCCTCAGTAATTACTTCTAACATGAAAGTCAGAAAATGGTGCAAAACATGTATCACAATTTCTCAGACAGTGCATGGGATGTCTTCAAAATGTAGCTACAGCTAGTGATGTTTTTTTTAATTAATTACAATTAATGATTTAGATTTATTTCTCTCCAGTAATAGATATTTGCTCAGTCCTAAAAAAAAAAACAAGGTGAAAATATCCACCATAACAACATATCAGAGATGTTTTCAAATGTACAACCCTAAATTCAGAAAAGTTGAATCCTTGTGTTAGATGTAAATAAAACAGAATGATTTGCATTGTAATCCCATATTTAATATAAAATAACACAAAGATAACATAACAAATTATAATCTAATTGACTCCTTCACACAGACAGAATCCAAAGAAAATACTAGAGCACACTAATCACTGATGGCATTTATTGCATTTATAAGTGATTCGTGTTCTCCAGTATTTTCTTTTTATTCTGCCTGTGTGAAAAAGTCCATTGAAATCTATTTTGAATGTCTAAGGTCCTTCTCTGAGAGCACCGACCTCCATATGTGGAGGGGTTGAAGCGCAAGAGTTTCTTTCTACTTTTCCACATAACATAACATAACACATATTGAAACTGAGAAATGTTATTACTTTTTAAAAATAATACAGAATTTGCACTTTTTTCCAATTTGAATATTCTTTATATGTGTAAAGACAAAAGGCATCCAATTTATAAGTTCTTGGAAAAGTATGCAAATAATTCAAACATTTGAGAAGTTGGGACTGAATATTGTGTTTAACTTTTAGTTTAACACCTGCTGGCATGGAGAGTTATTTCCTCTCACTCATGAGCAGAACATACATGTTGGTTGGCCGTCAGCTGTAGTCTTTGCGGTGTGTTCAAGTGCAACTTTTTGGCCAAGAAAAAAGGTGACGTGAGGCTACACCACAGGCGGCCTTTGTTGCCACTAGTTCTCTGCTGTCTGCTTGGTGTGTCAGGGCTTTAAACTGCTGGTTCAAGTCGTACACCCAAATGCAGATCTTTGAGACAAATGCAACGGATCAATATCAATATTTCAAACTTTTGAATCAAACAACATGGGCCGTTTTCTCTTACAAAGACTTATAATTTGTTTTCTGTATGAAGCTTGATTAATTGATCAAATTACAAACAATGCTATGTGCTGTTATAGATGAAAAAGGCAGCCGAAGTCTACTTTAAAAGAAAAGGATTGTGTCTGCAGAAATGGAAAAACTCTGTCAAGGTGTTTTTGATTCAGAAGTGTGAGTCTCACAATATATGAGAGCTGTCTTCTCACATCTGGAAATAGAACCTAACAGCGAGGTCACACGGCTCCTCGCTCACTGATACACGTCTTTTCTTCCTTCATGTGCAATTCCTTCCCATGTGGGTCAGACATCTTTCAGGTGCTCTAAGTGTTAATATGTGTTTGGCAGTAATCTAAGCGGTCCTATTTGAGTAGTGCATTCTTTTCTATTTTCTCTTAACTACATTTCAGAGCTTATGATTGAACGTTTTTCAGCTCGAGTCAGAATAGTTAATTCACGGATACATTTTTTTAATGAAACTTTTAAACCAACTTGTTGAGCCCAACTTTTTTTTCATAAACAGAAGTGCACAAAAATATTAATAAATGAGGTATAATCTAGTTTTTATTCACTCATGTACTGTTAATCCTCACTGAATCCCCTTAGATTCCTCTTATGGTCCTCTGCTCTGATAACTGTGTATTGGCCAGAATCTGGCAATGCTGAATGTTTTGCGGTAATGGGGTTAAAAATCAATATTCTCTTGAATACAACAGTTAGTTCTGACCAAATAGGGTGATTGATTGGACAAGTAGTATTCCATGAGCAGCCATGAGTGATGATATATTAAAGCCGTTTTTCGGCCCACAGGACCTTTTCATAGTTCTAGGAACTGTTGGAACCCTCCCCTTTTTATTGATTCAATAAGGAACTATGAACTACTTTAGTTCCTAAAACCCTGTTTAGAGGAACATTTTAAGCTCCTGCTTCAGAGTAGGTACAGTGCCAGCACCAGACTTGGAGTAGCATAAGTGCAAAGTGAATGGTCCATCCATCAATGTATGTTGATTGGTCGAACAACCACGACAATCCAGTACCACTAACCACCATTTTTAATCCCACAGTTAACATGAGCAAATAACAGTAAATAACAGTCGTCAAATTTCCTGCCAGCTTGCTCCTGCTACATTGGGTATTCATTTTACAGCGAAGCAGTGCCATGAGAAGATGAATAAAAAAAAAAATAATAATGATAATAATAATAATGTTGGCTACGTCACTTTAAGGATCATATCAGCCAGCACCATAGTGGTACGAATGCAGACTGAAAATCAGTTCTGATGGTGTGCAGTTCTCAGGGAACTCCCTAGTGGATAGTTCCTCTTCAAAAAGTCCCCAGAACTGTTTGTGGGGCTGCACACACACAAGCGCCCCGAGCAGTTGGAGGTACTGAACCTTCCTCAAGGGCACCTTGGCAGCAACCAATCCCAACTTCCATACCTGATCCATAATGGTAATGGACCTGAAGACCTTCTAGTTTCTAGCCAAACCCCTACAGACTGGGCAATTGCCGTCTCCTTCCTAATTTGCATTTAGCTCAAGATTTGGAATATTTCTTCCACCTCTGTTACAGCATCATCACAAATTACAAAAACCTCAGGTTGAAGCTCCTTAACTGTTAAAAAACAGGTAAACAGAAAAAAGAAAAGGCCAGACACTCAAGCAGGCACTCAATCACTCAAACCAATTTCCAGACCTCCTGCACTGTTGTTTGTGTAACAGTCCTCTTGAGGGGGATCAGGAAGTGTCACCATGGCGATGCGTCCACTCACAGATGAAGGAAGTATCTTTCAGTTTGTTGCACCTTTAAACTCCCTGCAGGTGTGTGTGTGTGTGTGTGTGTGTGTGTGTGTGTGTGTGTGTGTGTGTGTGTGTGTGCGTGCGTGTGTGTTTGTGTGTGTCAAAGTGTATCTGTGTGTCTGTGTGTATTTTCCCACCGAGGGGCTTTTAAATTTAGATTCAACAAACTGTTCACACATTACTACCTCAGGAGGATCTCTCATGAGGCTGGCAGAGAAGAAATCTGTAAAAATGTTCAGCAGCAGTCTCAGTGGTGTTAAACCCTGTCACCTTAAAGAAAAATATTGTGCTTTATTTGAGCTGAAAAAGGTTTTTACATTACAGTTATAATCAAATGCAATGTGTTAGACCACCTGTGTTTGTCTATTTCCATCATAATTAAATCAAGTCATTGATGAAATTAAGATAAACATATTTTCTTCCAGGGTATTTGCAGCATTTTCAGTTTGTTTTCTTTGATATTGAGTTATTTATATTAATGTTAATCTGACCAAACACATGTTGGACATTTCCCTTTTTTTAATGATTTAATTAGGATTCATATTTTCTTACCAAGTCCTCAAACATTTTTTTTACGTGTTCTATAGATAAAGGCTTCTGCTAATAATTAGTTTTTTATCAGTTTATCTGCTCGTTGATTGTTTTGCCTACAAAATGTCAGAAAACAGTATAAATGTTGTTTGTTATTTCCCAGAGCTCACGGTTAATCTAGGCACAGAGGTGGAGTTGAGGTAAGCAAAGTGAATGTCTTGGTTGTTGGAACGCGACCATCTAGCTTGCTATTCCTAACAATGCAATATTTTTTGAAATTTTTTGAAACTTGTATCCATCTACAATTGTTTCAACTTTTCTATATCCTACAACAAGTTCCACTTCCTTCTCTTTCACCAACCGTCGTTCTTTTTTTTTTTTTCAAATGAAACTTTATTAATAATTGTCAACGCTCCGTCCCCATTTCACTCGTAGGCTACAGTGTGAGCACGTCAATCGCAAGGTCGATCAATCGGGGGAAAAATCGCACAGTGTGAGCCAGGCTTAAGGGTCCATAACGTGCTTTAGCCAAAATGAAGCTTAGCCTCTTAGTTAACAGCTTCAATGCAGCCGCCTGTCAGTCAAGTCAGCCACATCCCTCATTTTGTCTAATGAGGCATAAGTCTTACCTTATTTCAATCAGGAGAGACAAGTGAATTAATAAAATGATTTATTACAATGAATAACATGGAAATGTGTCTTGCCAGAATGACTTGTGCTCTTGGACTCCATGGGGTGATGTGTTTGGAGACAGACAATCCTGAGCGTCGACAGATTAAATCCCCCCATTGAGTCCAGACACTGGTGGTGGTGAAGCTGCCTTGAAGATTTGATGGAAGATGATTCTACGAAGACTGGCGGTGTTTGGGAGGTGGAGGGGCGCACGAAACATCAGCATGAAGGAACTAAGGCAGAAAAATAATAATATTTAAAAAGGCGAACAGAGCGATGATAGGTTGAAAATGAGGGAGGAACGCCATGCCATTGGTTAGATGAGTACCGCTCACGAGACAGCTGATTATCCAATGACAGCCCAAGAAAATGACAGCTCGAGGATGACAGCGGAAACGTGAGTGAGCGTGCAAAAAGGGATGAATGAGAAAGACCTGATTGTGAAGGCAATTATAGAGTCTTCCTGACTTAACTTACGCTAGAACTTCATATAATGAAAACAGAAAAGTTATAAAATATGTCATCCCCTGTAAAGTTTGTACCAATAA